TGCCACTGTAGAGATTTGGATGTGATTCGCTCCCCAAGGGGTCATGTGTCAGAAGCTTGGTCCTCAGTGTGGTGGCTGGAAGTGGTAGAACTTTTGAGAGTTGTGGTCTAGGTTAAGGTGACTGTCACTGCGGGCACTGCCCTCGAAAGATATTAATGTAGTTCTCAGGGGACCCCGATTAGTTCTCTCAAGAAGGTTGCTGTAAAAGAGAAGGAGTGGCTGCTCCCTAGTCTCCCTCTGGCTTCTTTTCCCACCATGGGATGTTCTCCCGTGGGTTCCCACCATGAACCTACTGACCATGATGTGATTGATTTAGCTGGTCGAGGGAGGAGGTCACCAAAGCCAGAAGCAGCAAAGATAACTTTATGCCTACAAAACTGTGAGCTCAATAAACCTCTTCTTTTTATAGAGAACCCAGCCTCCAGTATTTCATTACAGCAGCAGAAAGCTGACTGATACAACCACCAAGAATAACACCCAGACCCCCTCACGCTTTTTCAGAGACGCCACTGCCACCAACATTAGGCAAAAGTATCACATCTTGACAGTGCCACCCCAACCCTGCCAGGACCCCTGACTCACTGCCACCCATGGGAATGGACCCCTCTCGGGACCAGCGTCCTCATATTTCCCCCTTCAAAATCAAAGTCTTGGAAGAGACATCTTGAAGGATCCTAAGTCCCATCATGTCTCTGATTTGTAAGTGGAGCTGAGACACCAGAGCCTGCCACTTCCATTGAGGAATCAAGACTCAAAATGCAGAAAAACCAGCTCCAAGAAGAACGTCCAAAACAGCTAGCCGCCATAGCCCAGGCTCTGCCAGGACCAACAGCCCCCGAGGCCTGTCCCAGCAGCCCCGGCCCCTCTCTGCAACCAGCTGAGAGACTGGACTCCTGAGCATTTGCAGCAAGGAGAACCTGGATGCTTTCCCAGCTTCCCCTTCACGCCACCCCAGCCTGGGACTTGCTTCTCCTACCTTTGAACTCCCAGGTGGAAAAAAGTCACCACATTATCTTGCCCTTCGATCTCGCCAGAGCCAACTCTTATTTTCAGGTCGGACTGTTTTGCACTAGAATTGAATCGAATTGAGGCCCAGGCCCAGACACCTATCAGGAGGAGCAAGTGAGGGTAGGTGGGACGCACGTGGGACACACATTCACCCTTGACCCTCACTCGTGTCGAGCTGAGGGAGCAAGACCAGTGACTTATTCACACCCAGCTCCAGACTAACTGCAGGATCCCCTGTCCCCAGCTGGGGGGCTCACAGGGCACACAGCAGGGGACACAGGACAACTGGAGGGGCTGCCCTTCTTCCCCAGATGGCCTGAGCTCTCCCACCCCTGGGGAGTTGGGGGCTGCAGGGCAAAGGGAGGGAAGACGGCCAGACGTGGGATGTCACCCGGGGAAATGGCTGGGAACTGGGGTGTCAGGCGGACCCAGCTCCAAGCCCATCTTGGCTGCTTCTCACCGTGAGGTTTGGTGCTCACGGTTTCTCCCTCCACACTGGGTGTGCTCAACCATAAAAACGTGATAACAAGACCAGAGACACACCAGGGTTCTCCAGCCCCCAGGTCAGGGACACAGAGGCCGCCTGAGGAGCAGGGGGTGGTGTGAGAACAAGACAACAAGATCAGAGGACAGAGGAGGACAGGTAGGCCTGAGTGAGCAGAGCAGGTCAGAGCCAAGGTAAACTGAGAGCAAGCCCACAGGCATCCAAGAATAAAGGGGTCAGAGCCCGCTCAGACTTACTCTGAATCCCCACTACACCAGGAACTACCATTTCCTCAAAATACAGTCAAAGAACACTCATTCCCCAGGGCCCATGCCCTCAGGAACACCCTCTGAGGGTAACTGTCAATAGGGCACCAGCTCAGGAGGAGCCACCGCCACAGCAACTGCTTCCTGCAAGTTCTGCCCAGGGACAACTCAATTCAAATCCCAGATCCGCCATGACTAGCTGTGGGACTCTGGGCAAGTTGCTCAACTGATCTGAGCCAGAGTCAGCCAGCTCCTGAAACGGGGAGAACGATGATCCCAACTGAACAGGATGCGGTGGAATTCAGCGAGCTAAATACCTGTCAAGTTCGCACAGCAGTGTCCAGAACCTATTGAGCACTCAGAACACCATGCTCAGTCGGGTGTGGATGGCTCAAGCTTCTACCGTCTGGGGGTTGGTAGAAATAATTTGGTTGACTAGATGGTTTAAACTCAGCTGCACACTGAAATTGCCTGGAGAGTTTTAGAAAATACTGATGCTCAGGATCTCGCGGTCAGGGATTCCGGTTGACATGGCCACCGGCCTGGAAAGTGGGAATTTTTTTTTATAGCTTCTCGGGTGATTTTGATGGACAACCAAGATTGAGAACCACTGGGCTCAGGGGCAAGGACTGTGTTTTACCCACAATTATGATAATTATTGTTATTATGAACATTAGTGAGTAATACTCTCCCCCCCCCTCAACCTGACCACCAAGGAAACAGCCCAGGAAACCACTCTTCTTAATTTTTGTGGGACCTGTGAGTAGAGGTGAAATCCACCAGGAAGTGAGAAGTGAAATGGAGAATGGGACTTCATTCCTTAGGGTCAACAATACCGGGCAGCTGCTTCTCAGGCCAGACAGACCTTGGTTCCGAGACAACGCTACTCTGCGATCTTTCTCGGCACAGGGAATGGAACCTCCTTTGCAGATTTATTCCTGTGGATTAAATTGCGCCCATAAAGATGTCCACGTGCCTCACACATATTTGGACGCCAGTATCTACCCGGGTTCCCTTCCCCTCAGCCCAGTCTAGTCCTCGATTTCTGGCTTAAAGGTCATAGTTCTGTGTTCAACCTCCACAAAGTCATAGGAAAAAAAAAAAATCTTCCCTACCCTGGATGTCATCATTTCTCCCCTTCCCTCTGAAGGCCCAACAACATCTGGCAAAATATGACAGCTAACACAGCAGAAAGCCTGAGCTCAGAGTCCCGCTCCTTTGATGACTCTGGGACACTGGACATGACTTCCTTTCCCCTGGCCTTTGGTATTCTCATTTACAAACCACAGATAACAGCCCACAACATATGGTTTGGTGGTTTAGTTCCATGGATTTAATTGTACATGATATATAAGAAGGCCTCAGCTCAATTAGCCCTCGGCACATAATTAATGCCCCACGTTTTGCATACATTATGTCATTTGACTCTCACAACAATCCTACATCCCCAGCCTGAAACTAAGGCTCAGAGAGGTTCCTCCACCAACTCCAATTCTCCAGCTATTTCTGGTGCCCTTCTGGGTTTACCTGGGAGTTGCCAGAGTCAGGCTTTTGGTCAAACAGGTAGAGAAGAGGAATTCCAGGAAGGCCCAGCAAGGGCCTTGCATCGGGGTGGCCGGGGTGGGGGGTGCATCAGAGCAGCCCCTGGCTCTCAGGGAGTCTCCCACACAATGTGGGGCCCCTGTAGCTCCAGGTGTCAGTGCCCATGGTTCATTTTCAAAGCCAGGAGCATGCCGGTTTCACAAGGAGATTGTTGGCAGTCCTGTGGTCTCTGTTACTAGAGACTGAATAGCCAGTGAAAGGGACCCATTGTGCGGCCTCCGCAGAAAGAATACTCCATTTAGAGAAAGAATTCAACTGGTTTCTCCCAGAGAAAGAAGACAGCCCCAGTCAAGAGAGAACAATGCAGATCATTCACTAAATTTTTACTTAATGTCTGAGTCCCGTGACCAACCAGGTTAAGGGCCACACGGTGCAGAGCAGGCTGAGGCCACACGTGTATGCAGAAAGGGAGACTCTGGCTGAGGTTCCAGCCGAGGCCCCTCCACTGTCCACCAAGGCCAAATTAACTCTGGACCCTTATGGACAAAATGAGGGGTGTGGATGGACTTCTACCATTTGGGTTTAGCAGAAATCCTTTGGTTTGCTACATAGCTGTGCACTGAAATTACCTGGAGAGTTTTAAGAAAATACTGATATTTGCTGCCAGGGATTCTAATGGACATGGCCCACAGCCTGGGCACTGGGAATTTTTTAAAGCTCCTCAGGTGATTTCAATAAGCAACCAAGATTGAGAACCAGTCAGTCCAGCGGCAGCGATTGTTTTGTCCACAGTTACATCTAGAGCTGAGCACAGGACTTGACTCGTATTTGGTGCCAATAAATTATTCATGAGCCGAGGGGGTACGTGGCTGACTCTGAGAAGCTATCAACCTCAGCTTCCCTGGTGGTAGTTCTGTGTTGATCACTTTACCCTCCGTTGGGACTGAGCACAAGTTTTGGTTATTTTTTTGTTAAAGGATTGTCTCCTTTAAGCACTTTTTTTTAAAAAAACCACTGGACCATACAATCTCTTAAGATTTCTTTCCAACTCTAAAGCACACCGACTCCAAGACCATAAATCCCTTCTTGCCCTTGGAGAGCAGCGATGTTTTAAGATAAATTATCAAGGCAGGCAGGTCCTGGGAAGGGCCCCCTGGGAAAGCCACTTGACCTCCCATCTGGTCCCTTGCTGGTCCCTGGCTCTTAGAGCTGAGCCCTTTCTGCTCTGGGTGATGGACGTTTCCAGCTTCTCTTCTCGTAACATCTCCTACTGGTTTATACTCATTCCCGGAGTGAACTGAACCGCTCCCAAAGTTTTGATTCTGATCTAGAAGTTGGCGTTTTCCAAATGGAGATCTCTAGCTCTGCCCTTTTCTCCTGAGCCCTGGACTCAGCCATCCAACTGCCTGCCGGGCATCTCCACTTCAATTTCCCTTAAGCACCTCAAATTCAATCTGTCATCGCCTTTCCCCACCCAAACCTGCTCCTCCTCCCGCCTCCCCTATCTGGATGAACAACATCCCATCCACCCAGTTGCCCAAGTCAGGAAACCCCAGAACCACCTTCGACTTCTCCCTCTCCCTGCCTCGAACCCCACCCTCTGAACCAGCCATGATTTCATTCTTTTGTTTTGTTGGTTCTTTTCAGATCTACGTGACCACAGAGTGTGTTTTGACATATCACACAGACATGGAGCATACCTCCCCATTCTTTTGGTTGTACCGGATGTGGAGCTTCACTGGTCAGATATTCAAATACGAACATAGAAAAGTGATGTCCGATTCATTCTGTCTTTCCTATTCCCGTCCCCTCTCCCCTCCCTTCATGCCCCTTTGCATTACCCACCTACCCCCCGACACACCCTCACCCCATCCCCCACCCCCCATTGTGTGTCAGCACCTGCACATTGGAGAGAACATTCAGACTTTGGTTTGGGGGGACTGGCTTATTTCACTTAGCATGATTTTTCTTCTGATTTCTTTATCCCCACAGCACTGCAAGGGGACCTAAAACAGGTTCAAAAATATCACTGGGAATAAAGTTTGGGCTCCTTAGAAAGAAGGAGAGATAGATAGTCTATATGGGGGCACTGGGCACTTCCCCCACTCCCAGTTGCTTCCGGTCACCTCCTTCCTGCCCTTATGTTCTGACCGTATTGGCTCACCTGGGACGTATTTGCTGCACCCTGTGCATCCTTTGTACAACCTCCGGGTCAGGTCAGGTGCTGTGCATAGGATCCTTACCCTCCTTTTCTCTTCCAACTAAAATGTCCTGCCCCTCTCTACACAGCAAATATATTTATTCTTCAAAATCCACTTCTCAAAGCTTTGTCTCCCTCCTCCCAGGGCCTGCTTAGACAAGAAATTTCGTTTCTTTTTTTCTTTTATGTGATAAATACTATTTATTTGCTCAGTGCTAGGCAATTTTCTAAGCACCTGACATCTTCAAACCAATTGAATTATCACCACAACCCAGGGAGACAGGGATTGTGACTAAACCCATCTTACAAATAGGGTATGAGGAGTACAGCCCAGAACCTGGGATTCAAGTTCCCTTGGATAAAGCCCTTCATACCTGCCTCCTAAGAGCAAGTATCTGGGTACCCGTATCACAGGCTGTAAGAAAACAGTTAGCACGCTATTTAGCTGAGGACTCTTTCCTTCAAATCAGACTTTACCCTAACACCCAAGCTGTTGCAGTGGAAACAGGAGGCTGAGCCCAGCAGGCGGAGGGACCCAGCTCCCATGCCTCCCACCCCCAGCACCAATGTTCAAGAGCGTGGTAGGGAACCCAGTTCCTAAGGTTTCTTTCATTTGTCATTCTGCTGTTCACTGTAAGATGGCCTTCCTACCCAGATGTGAAATTGCAGGCCTACCTCCAGGGCAGCAACTCGGTTTTTGAGTTTAAAATATTCCTGTGCATCTTTCTTAATGAATGAAGCCACATGTCATTTCTGAATGGCTAGAGCTTATCCCATGAAAAAAACTTGAGAGGCTTCAAGCTTTCTGTAGCAAGGTGCTTCTATTGCATGTCCTTGTGGGTTGTGGCCAGTTGTGTGGGAACGTTCCTTGCTGCCTAAAGTGTCCCCTATGCTCCAAGTGAGCTTAGACTAGCATCCTGTTGTATGCTTTATCCTGTTCCCGTCCCTGCAAGGGTCAGGCTTACCTCCAGCAGCTTCTCTTCTGTGCTCTTCTGAACCTGTTCTTTCCACCCAGCCACTGATTTTTAAAAAAAAAAAAAACAATCTTGTTTAAATTGTGCCTAAAGTAGGAACAAATAGAATTAGAGAAGTTCTCAGTACAATAAATATCCTTCAGGACAATGTCTTGTGACTTCTCCCATCTTCGTTCATTTAACATTCACAAAACACTTATGCACCAAAAGCACTGGGTGTCATGAACAAAATCATGGGTAAATTAGAGCCACTGCCCTCAAGGAGTCACATTTAGAAAGAGAGATCCACAAAAGGAAATAATGATACCTCTATAGGATAAAATGTTATCTGCAAAATGCAGCATGTACACATATACATACACATGTGCATGCAAACACATGCATACACACACACACACACACACAGAGATTTAACTCTCCCTTGAGGAGTAGCAGTGGTCTGTCAAGGCTTCCTGGAGGAGGAGGCATTTGAGTCAATTCCTGAAGCAGATCGTTCCAAAGGCTCAAAGAAAAGATAATGCAAATTTTGCAGTGCAGATTAATAATTAAGTTTACTACACTCGTATGGAATCAACGAGCCAAGCCAACTTGCTGCAGGGAGACAGAAATAACTAGCATTGTGCAATTCCCATTTTCCCAGCACTGCTGGAAGTGCTTTCCACATATCGGCTCATTTAATCATCGCAACGATCTTCTGAGGCGGGAATTCATGTCACAAGGAAACACAAGGGAACAGGAGCAAGGAGAAGGTGAAGCAGCTTTCCCGAGGACACACAGTAAGAAAAGGCCACCCAAGTGTTGAGCGAGGACCTTAGCCCTTTGGTGTCCTTGGAGTAGAAGTCAGTGACCTGGCGAGGACCAAGAGCTAAGGTATGAAGAAGAAAAGGAGATGGGAGGAAGAGAGAGGGAAGAGAGGAGGAACAAGAGCATGCGTGAGAGACAGCAAGAGAGAGAGAGTGAAGTGCAGAGCTGGAGTCAAGGAGGAAAGCAGGAACCTCACCAGTGATCCCAGGGGAGATCCATGAGCTTTGGTCTAGAGACAGGGGCCCCACCACCCAGAAAACCAAGAGATTCCACCAAGCCCAGGACTCCCCAGGTGCCAGCCTCACAGGTGAGAGAGGAGCTGACCAGCAGCCAGAGTGTAGGCAGGGGACAGAAACAGAAGCTTTTTACCTCTAACCAACCCCCCTCCAAAAAAAAAAAAACAGTAAAGGAAATGGGTCCAAAGACTTCCCGGCTGGAAGAGCCCTAGAGAGCAGCTGATGCAACCCAGAAAGGTTGCATGATTGGTCCACAGCACCATCCTTGTGTGCTTTGGCTCTCTTTGCCCAAAACTATTCCACTGGTAAGGAAGGAGGCAGGACTGAAATCCAGGGCCCCTGATAGACTGCAGTCCATATGTGTGTCACTATCCCCTGTTTCCTGCAGAAGCAACTGCTCACTGGAAGCACCACTCTGCCAAAGAACAGGGGTTCAAGGGCAGGAGCAATGGGGGTAGAAGGCTGTGTGAGTGTACCAAACCATGGTTGAGCTCTTGAGGAACAGGCATGGGGGATTACTCCCATGAAGTACAAGAAGAACCCCCATTCTTTATCACTTGTTTCTTGAATAATCTGGCTTCCATTAACTGATCAAGGAGAAGAGGGACTTCTGGAAAAATAAGTGATGAAAGACTGAAATCCAGAAAAGCACCTGGGATAACCCTTTGGGAGTGCTAGGGATTGAACCCAGGAGTGCTCTCTCACTGAGCCACATCCCCAGCCCCAGGCCTCTTGGTTTTATTTCAAGACAGGGTCTCACTAAGTGCCCAGGCTGGTCTCAAACTTGCAATCCTCCTGCCTCAGACTCCCAAGTAGCTGGGATTACAGGTGTGCACCACCATACCTGTCCAGAAGGGAACCTTCTATGAAGATTTAACAGGGTGCCCTGAAAATGTTCTGTCCTGTGCTCTGTAGAACAGTCACTCAACATTCAGATGCATATTCTAGTGTCAACCTTGTTAAAATTGTTGACAAATAAGTGATATCCTTCACTCTTCCCTGCTTCTCTAACACCTATCCCTGAAATGTCCCATGACCAACAAATAAATGCTGATGTTCCAGCACCAGGGCCGCCCTAATTTTCAGGGTGATTCCTGATTGGTCAGTATTAGTCCAAGTACAATTTGTTAAATAATTTGAATATCACATCTACTTATAAGAAAAGCTCTGTAGTTCAGTTTGAAAAAAAAAAAATATATATATATATATATATAATAGTCTTTCCATCAAACCAGCACAGTATCTCTTGAGAACCTACCAGGTCAAGGTCAGGGAATAAAATCTGGCATAAGTCTATGCCCAGTTCATAGCTTTCAGTCTTCCAGTCCAGTCAAACAAGAAGACCTGCAGTGTTCACTGATGGATCTTAGGTAGGGGTGGTGCAGTCCCTCTGTGGAGCTTCTAGAAATGAGGGAGGTATTTTTAGTTGATGTGATAACTGGCTTATAGCAGGAATTCATTGGACAGTCTCACCAAAAAAAAAAAAGAAAGAAAGAAAGGAAGGAAGAAGAATCCTTCCCCCAAATGCTAATAGCACCCTGATTTCATAGAAAAATATCAGCAATCAACATGGAACTCCATCAGACAAAGCATTTTACATGTTGAACTGCTGCCTGCCAGGTTTCACAGGATGCCTGTCATTTAACTATTGGGCAGAATCTACAGGAGATAAAGTTCTAAGATTCCAAGAGGCAAAAAGGAATTTAAGGGGGGAATGTTCTGTTTACAGAACCCTACCTTTCTATGTGGCACAGAGCTAGTGCTCCTTCTCCTGAAATGAGGCAAATGTGCTATATTCTGAACACAATACCACCAAGACTCCCCTGTCCAAAAAAACAAAAAGATGTTTAATGAATGCTATATTCATGCTAGCCTAAAACCATGGATCTGGAATACTGAACTTGAGCCAGTACATAAACAGTTAAACCATTTCTTGCTCCTGTTTTTGTTTTTTCATGTTTTTCATGTGCAATGCAGCTCCTAATCCTTCTGGTTTCATTCCTTACCAGCCAGAAAGCATTGTCTGAACCAATACACTCCTCCCTTAAGCTTCCTTTACAGTCCCTCTGTTTCAGAAATAGCAGAAACAGGAGTATTATTTACACCCTTAGAATTCCCCTCGAAAGAAGCAAAGGATCTCTTGTCCCTGACCACAGAGCCGGGAGCTGGTAAAGCAAATTCTAGTGAAGAAATAAGTCGTGTAGAAAACTAATCCATCCTTCAGCCAAAACTACAACATATTTTCCCAGCATTAATCCGGATTCCCATAACACGACTGTGAGAGCTAGAGTAGCTTAAATATTGTGGCCGTGTAGTAGACAGGCACTGGAGATCTGCCGAGCATAAGAAGGAGATGATGAAACTATGTACATTGTGGGAGGCAAGGTCCAGCTGCTGCCCGGAGCTGCCAAGAGGTCAAGTCCATGTGAAGTTCAGAGGCTGGAACCTAAAGCTCTGCCCTGACTTCTACTAAGTATTCAATAGCTCTTCATGGATTTATAACAGCAGCCACAGCTGATCATGACTAGGTTTCTCTCGAGTGACCGTCGCTGCATCATTGCACTTAATCCTCCCAGCAATGCCGACCAGTGGGGTT